ACTATAAATATGATGATCTCGCAAGATTATTTCCTTTTACGCAGAAACGTAAAACAACAATTTTGTTAAAATTTTTTAGGAATTCGAGGAAGGTCAGAGCCTCATGTAACTGCGTGATAAATGTGTGTAAAACGTTGTTAATTCGTAATATCGTGTTGGCAATATAGAGCGATATTGTGTAGAGTTGCGTAAGAGAAAGCGCGTCGTCGCAATTCTAGCACCACGATTTATCTGGCGAACAAATGAATTGTTTCTCTTGTATGTTAACTATGATAGCTAATATTAAAGAGCGAAACGGCAAAGCGGTTGCTCGACAATCTTATCATCTGCCGCAACTCTGCACAATAATCGTCCGCCGTTGTTGCTGCATTAATTACACGATATTTAATTTGTTCACTAGTTATTGTTATCGCAGTTGTGTATTTTTGTCTGTCATTATCATTTTACTATTGTAATTACGGTCATTATATAACTATTACTTATTATTAATTAATTTTGCAATTGCTGGCTCGTATTAATTATTTTACATCGCATCCGCCAGCCAGACGAATAGGCTTCACTCACTAATCTACAGTATATTAATTTCGGAATGTATGTGGCAGTCTACACAATCCACTCGAAAAGAACTCGAAAACACCATAGAAAATAGACTATTGTACAGATGCAAACACATAACGATGCCAAACATATTACTAGCGCATTACGTTTTATTATTATTATTATTATTATTATTATTATTATCTCTATGATTATATATCATTATTATTCTTATTGAACAGATCACACATTTTTTCATATTAAACTAACATTGAGTTGACCCTCTTTTGTATTGTCATTTTTGTTTTTAACTTATTTCCCTGTTATTCCCTATTAGCAATTTATTTCATCCTTTAATGCGTTACCGATCGATTTCTTCGTGAAATTTCTTGAAAATGGATTTACGAAATGTATATATATGTATACATTATGTCGCGTGATTTTCTCTCGGGGGGGGGGGAGGCGGTAAACGCGCTCTTCAAAGTAAATTTAGTTTTACGTCGAATTGATTAAAGCCCTAGAGCGCATGTGCGCGAACTGTTATTATATCCAGTTCGCATAATATTTCCTGGGTCTTTAAACTATTTCGGCGTCGCTCTTATTGGCGTGAAAAATACGTGGCTATTTATATCGCTGAATTATACAATCACACGTACGTTCGCTCTGTCGCTCGAGCTCTCAACATTTCTAAAGCCGAAAGAAGGGTGTACGGGAGACGGAAGGGCGGGAGGGAGGGACAGAGAATTGGCACGCGAAAGCAAGAGGAATGAAAGCGAAAGAAGCGGGACGGAGAAAGCGCGGGATGTGGGGAGAGCGGAGAGGAGGTTGTTTCGTGCGCGAATGCTACTCGAGAGGGTGACGAGCGAGAGTGGATGGGAAGACGAGAGCAAGAGGGTGGGGAGGGAGGAGGGAGGGCGCGGGGCTCGAGAGAGACTCACAATCAGTCCGCGCACTCGAGAATTTAAGACGGATATGCTCATATCTCTCGGCATTTGGACCGCGACGATTCACGGACACCTTCATTCTCTTTAAAGAGACGCTCACTCGCGTCGATAGCTCGGCTTTAACGAAAAGCTCCCTCCGCAGCACGTAGAATTTATGGAGGGTGAAGCCACCACGGCCGGGCTTTGGAGTATCGAGAATTTCTCCCCTTCGGAGCTTTCTCCCCTATGTTGGCGCGTTTCTCTCTCTCTCTCTCTCTGCCCTTTACCCTTTCTCTTCCTCTTCACCCTTTGCGTCTGTAAAAAAACGCCGGGTTTTGTTTTCCTCCCTTTTTCCTGTTGTTTTCTCTTTACGCCGTTGCCCTTTGCAGTCCTTTGCACGGGTCCACGATTGATCCCTGCTAAAATCGAACGTGTTTTGAATATAGCTTCATGCGTTGCGTTTTTCCTTCTTTCTTTTCCAATTAGACCTCGTAATTAGATCTCTATCGTAACTTGAATTTATTTAATTCTAAGTAATTTCTACGCTGTTTTTACTGTACGTAGAATATCTGCAGCCTGTGTCCTCAAAAGATATCTGCCTTTTCTCGCATTTGTTGTTTTTCAAAACGACATTGTCTCCTATTAGCCTCTTTTTCGATTGTGAAGAAAAATAAGATATCTTCTCCAACATTAACTTTTCCCACTGTACTCAATTACTCATCTGCAATTTTTCGTTGCTCTATGTAACATTACTATATAATTTACTATATAACATTATTATATAACAGTCTGTATACTCCCTATGTACTTGATTTTGCTTCATAATATTGATACAATTAATGATGAGGGAGAGAGAGAGAGAGAGGGGGGGGATGAAAGGGGACGAATAGGTCTGGTGAGTTTGGTTAAAATTAATCTCTACAGGATTAAAGTGCCCCTCGGAATTATATCTTGTGTGGGCGGCACGCAGTAGAGCGAAACATAGAGATTCTCGGACATAATGGGAACATTTTGATTTTATTGTTTTATATGTCTGCTTTATCTGTATTTTAACTTAAGATTTCGATATAATATTATGATAATATTTTTGTTTTATTTTTCGAATTTCGAGCGGAAGTAACAGAAATACATATTTTTTAAATAACAAGAAATAAATACATCTCTCATATAGAAATATATTTAACATGCTTTTCATTAATATATACAGAGTTCTTTTGAATATAAGTGCCTGAAATATCTCCATGATATCTATATAAAGAATATCTTCAAATATATTTTGTAAGTAATTGAGTATCTAGATGCACACTCGAACGAATTTATCACGTATGAATAGTTTTGAAAGTATACTCTTATATATAAAATTTTTTTTAAAGTTATGTCCGGGAATTTGTATTATTCGATTCATTGTGCGTTGCACAGTTATATTAGTATAATATTATGCTATATAATTTTCTCATGTATTTTATATTGTAAAAAATATTCATTTTTCTTTTCTTATATTTCATTGTCTTTCTTATATTAAGAATTTTAGTCAATAATTATAACATTTAAAATAAAGGTTGCAAAAATGTACCCGTCCTGTTCCCAAAATTTTACAGCAAGTTCAGATGGTTAGACATTTTTGTTTCCATGTGTATACATACGTACATATATATACAAATGTAATACATGCATTGTTTAACTGTAAATCTTCGCTCTTATCCTTGGATTTTTCCCTCCTACCCAGTTGTGGAAAAATTCCGTAAAGAGTCGGAAATCAAACACGAAAATTCATTTATTTTGATGTGCATATACCTTTAAAAATACATCCACACACACACACACACTCACACACACACACACACACACACACACACACACACACACACACACATACATATTGTATATATAAATATATGTATTAGAATCTAATAAGACTTTTATACGCGGATGCACCTTATGAAAAGCCGAAGATTTACACACAAATACATATAATAAATATATATATGATATATAGAATCGAGAACACACACATACGCAGAGACGAATATGCGAATATTTTTCTAGCATGTCATCGATATTACGTCGAATTGAATTTCTTTCACTGTTAGGGAGAACACCCATTAATCATCTTTACGGAATTTCCGTGGCAACGTTCCGCCATAATGTATAATGTAGCTCTAATACGGATACGAGAGAATCTTTACCAAAGTAATTCCCTGTAAAATGTATTAATTAAACGAAATTAGAAAAAAAAAGCTGAACAAAGATCACTCTGTATAACGTCCATGATATAAATCTCCACGATCTTCGAAATCAGGATTAAAAATTTTTACATAAATTTTTACGCTTTTTCTCACGTTTCTCGGTACGCATATTATAAATTATTGAAATATAAATGACAAGGTTCGTATGGTTTTGTAAAAAAAGATGCATTACAAAATTGCAGTCTGACATTTCATTAAACAGTAGAATATAATTTTATAGTTGTGTCTTCTTCCGAGCATTTATTTAATTATATCCCTGTATCTTACGTACTTTACGAAGAAATTATGAAAGGAATGTATAGGATATGTACATATTTTCTAAAGTAATTCATATTTCGAAGATGTGGAACTTAATTCCTTCTCGCAGAATGAATTCCTATCAATTCCTTCTTAGTCACTTCTCTTTTTTTTCCAGAAGCGCGATTCATTGAAAAGAATTCATATTGCAAGATCGCAATAGAACTTCAGTCGTGAAAGTAAGCGTAACATTATTAATATTTTTCGTTATACAATTAACACGTTGAAGCATACAAGATTGTATATGTTTGATAACGTTGAATCGATCGACTTTGGAATAATTGCGTTTAGCAGTGAGACAAAGAAAGGTACTATCGTCGCCCTTAAAAAAATATATATATACATATACACACACATACACATTCGCACATTATCTTCACGAATCGCTGCTTTATTGCCTTTCTCTCTTCGAAAAACGGCTAGCAAGGAATTACGCGAAGAGTAAGGAGTATTATGCACGTAAATTACGTGTACATGTGTATACCAGAAATACAATGTACAAAAAGCAATATTTACCGCATACCTACATATAATTGTTACGTACACACTCGTACGCATATACGTAAAACGATTATACGCCCATCCTGCTCTCTCGACTCGATATTGCTCGATTGCCGGAAAATTTGCCATTTCGATTGTAAATTACACTGGTAGGATGCGCTTTGTAAGAATGCAAGTATTGTGTATATTGTATATAATTTGGTGGACGAGTGTGTGAACGAAAGCGACTAAGACAATGTTTAGAGAGAGTCGTTGTCCAAGGAAGATAATGTGTCTTACGTATGGCAAATAGACGATGAGAAAAGTTCTCACGCGATATTTCTCGTACTATACAATTAACGGTTTACGAAATAATAGGTGTGTTCTTCTCGCGTTAGAGGGGCTGAAGGTGTAATAGTTTGATAATTATTTGAGAGAGAGAGAGAGAGAGAGAGAGAGAGAGAGAGAGAGAGAGAGAACGAGAGAAATCGATTACAAAATCATGAGGTCTGCTTTGTCTTGTTATAATCAAATACTTTGTATTATGTAGCACAGGTTGTCATTAAACGTGTGAACAAATCTATATCATTAAAGTCACTTCACACAATCAAATTGACATATACATAATCAATCAAGATGGTACCTTATTATATGTCCTTATAGTCGAGGGGAGAAGGAGTTGTGGAATCTGCCAAGAGAAATGTAAATTCTAAAATTCTCCTCTAAGAGAATTATAGAAGACATTACTGGTTTTTTTCGTATTTTTGTAATTCAATATTTTGACAATTATAAAGACCCTTTCTCTCCCCAAATAACTTGCGGTTAATTAAAACGGCAAAACATTCTCAGAGTTTTTAATATATGTTACGGTTACAAAATTTTTTTCCAAATCTTTTACTTCAGACGTTCCAATAGATTTTCTCGATCGTAATCATTGATGTGCCGCGATCGTTTTTCTGCCGCTTATCTTCAACTGATTTATATTTCCTTTTTTCTCGTGAAACGTGTCTTCTTGCGCTTCGTCGGAGTCGACCTGCACGATCGATTGCCAAGGTATTGGATTTACGTATGCTGGTTTCGCTTTCTGATGAGCTAAAAAGATAAAGCAGTTTATTTTAAGATATTTGCCAGGTTTTCGTATGAAAAAATTGTAGAGCAATGCAAACATGTATAGAATGTTCCAAAATTAGTACAAGCAAAAAAGGAATCATTTTCAAGAAAAAAATCTTTAAACATTTGTCAAATATGCGTACACTTAATACGCATTTTTAATTATAAATACTACAAATATCAAAAGAATGTTTCATACATAATAAGGCATAATATATTTATTATTTAAGAATTTTATTTTATTATCTTAAAAGTTGTTGGAACTGCGCGTATCTTATGGATATTAAAAGTTGCTTTTCTATAAAACATAGTCTAATATAAAAAATTTTATTCTAAATTTGCAATTTATTTTTTCATGTAGAATCATCCTTTTCCCGTTTATATTATCAATTCTGGAACATCTTGTATATCCATTTCCCTTTTACGTAACGGACTCAATAATTAATTAATGTCGTTTGTAAGAGTAATTATGTAACTGTTATCTTTAAAGATAGTATGTTGCAAAACATTTTACAGAGAGGAATTTTTTATTATATGTCAAAGTATAAGGAAGAATCATCGTGCTCATCTTTATGCTTGCATTTGCAGTAATTTTGTTATTTGATTTAATATTGTATTTGACATACGGAGCAATCCTTGTGTGGCGGGCTTGGGTTTGTTCTTGGAGTTCTCTCGCCACTTCTCGTACGCCCGCGTGCTCTGCTCCAGCCTCCTCTCGCGCTCCTCGTCCTTTTTCTTCTGCCTCGTCTCTTGCTCCTTAAGCCGGGCTGCAGGATACAGGACACAAGTCAATTTTTATCATCGCGCTTCTCCTCCGAGCTCCAATAGTATATAAGGATCCGATCAATTTCGATTAACTTTAATCGACGATTAAGTTCAATCGCCCAAGCTGACTGTATTTGTCACAATTTTGACGCCAAAGTGATATTTTTGGCAACATTGTGACGCAAAAATGATGATAAATAATTAGTATTTATACTATTTGTGCAATTGAATTAATCGTTTATTAAAAGTTTATCCGAAGTGGTCCTGACGGGGAGCTCAGTAAGCCGCGCCGGAAGTAAAACTGTCGCGCACCCTTCTGCTCCTCCTTCTTCTTGTGGAACCACCGACGGAGATATGTAGTCTTCGCACCGGCGAGATTATCCTCGATCTCCTTCAAACGCCTCTGCAATTCCAACTCGTTCTCGAGTATCGCTCTCCTGTCGAGCTCCTGCTGCCTCTTCCTCTCGATCCACTTGAGGAAGTTCTCCTTTTCCAGCCGCGTCCTTTCCTCCCTTTCCCGCGCCTCCCGCTCCTCCTCCTCCTGTCGCTTCTTCGCGGCGCGTTCCTCTTTCTCCCTTGCCCGCTGCGCGGCCTCGTGTTTCCTGCGCATCCATTCCGAATGAGCGATCCTTCTGCCAAGGTCAGACCCGTTCGCGACCTGATGACGATTGCTGACGCTCGACTCGACCGAGAGCGACGTCGTGGAAATTCGCATGACCTGGCGACCGTCCAGTACGTACCTGCGACATCATCATATACTTTCGCACGTACACTTTGACACTTAAGGGAGGAATCTACTATACAAGACTAAAAAAAGAACAGTGATTTAAAAAAATTTTTTTCAATTAAAATGAAATGGAATAATTTCAAGAATTTAACAGTGTTTTACTGTAATATTTGAGCAATGAAAAAATTTTTTTTATTAATAAAAAAATGATTTTTTAATAAATAATAGAATGTTTTACGAACATTACGCCACTAGAGCTGTTTGATTGTATACAACTAGGAGGTGTCATTTTTGTCTGAAACAAAAAAACCAAATTTTTTCTTAATTTTTCAAAAGTTAAAATTATCTTCTGTATGAACAAAACTTTACAAATTTCAAAAATTGGATAAATTATGACAATTTGAAAAAAAAAATTAAAATTTTTATGAAAAATTTAAGCTTTTTTTTTGCAAAAA